TACTACACACACACACACACACACACACACACACACACACACACACACACACACACACACTATTATAGAAGCATTTTTGCACACATCTGCCGTATGTTTTCACACACCCACCCACACCCACACCTATCCACTCACCCACCCACGCACACACCCATCCACTCACTCACCCACGCGCGCGCGCGCGCGCGCACACACACACACACACATACACACAACACACGTATGCACGTGCACGCACACAAATAAATAAATATATAATATAATATAGCTTCCTTTGCCTATATTAATTTTCATATACATCAACCAATAAAATTACAAACATATTTTACAAATACACACTCAACGGCAGCATAAAATTCTAATTATTATTCCTTTAATGACACATCGCTTGTATCATACTGTTTTAGCATTGCAAATTTTGCAATAATGTTCAATCCGTGATCACATGAAATTTTATTGCAAATCTATTGTTCGTTTGATACATTCGTTCACAGCCATACGTCTTCCGATCATCCTCTTTCCTGCTCTGCCTATTATTATCGTAAATATCTCTTTTACAAGAGACGATGGATTATTCGCGCCAATCGCCAAATTAGTGTAATTATTAATTAATTTTTCACGTACATCAAAATGAATTCTGTCCAACCACATGGCAGACGCAACAATCGTTCATTCTTATCATCAATTCCATTATTCTCAATGCAAAGATCGCACGAATCGCGAATCTTGATATTAATCTTCCAGTTTAGCATAAGAACAACTTCTTCAGATATCTAACGATCGCACGCGTTACATCTGTTTTATGATAAGATATATTTACTTTTAATATTAGAATGTATTAATTCAAGTGTGATCCAATAAGACTCATGCTTGTCAAATATCACGTGCAATAAATGAAAAATCAGTGTAATAAATAAACCTAGGACACAACCAAATCGCATGACCTCATATGTTTCTTTACTTCCGATCAAGATTCGACTGTCTCGAGCAATCACATTGATTTTATGACATTGGTCATAGGCGAGAAATAATGTCATAAATCAAAATGGACGCGGTGAGAGAGCCGAGTCTTAAGCATTACAATAATTGTCACACTTTGTTGAAAGATCTCATCTTAGAAATCGACGGACAACATGGACGACTATTCGATCTCTAAAAAAACTATTTGATGAAAAAATTTTGCTTATGCATGTCATTTTTTCGTATATGCGAGTCTGTCATTATTCTCACCTCGATGTTTGTGTCTATGACAAATAAATCGATTTCTCATATCTGTGCAAGAGAATCCGCATTCGCAGGTATAATCGACATCGAGGTATTGTTCGGCAAAAGAGTCCCATTTTCGCTATCCTTCTCGTTTATATCAGTATTACCGATGAAATCTTGGGAGGCTACCAACAACTTCTGCTGTCGTGCTTGCTTCTTCTCGCGTTCGATCTGGCATGAAATAATAACATACGATAACATTACACAAAACATTGATGAAATCATCGAGTATCGTCATTACAACTTTTTTTTCTCTCATTTTACTTCATTTTCTTTACTCGTGGACTCGCTGACAACGGTATGTCCTTTACGAAAACGATCATACAAACCTTAAAGAATAATCGAAGATAGTGACATGGAAACACGACACACTTTCCTTCCTCTTCCTCAGCATCAATATAAACTCCACGGACTAGAATGGTATTGCTACAATTGAGGAGAACGAGAAGAACGAAGCATCCAACGTGAGTGATCCAGCAGGATAATTCCGGATTGTCCGGCAACAGCCACAGATCCAGAGCATTCCATATACCACGCCAAACATTTACGGTTCCCAGGAAGCTCAAAAGAAGAAAGGCATCCGCGACCATTAAACGAGCCAGACCCTGAAGACGCGCGCAGATATACTGCATCAACGGTTGTAGACAAAATGTCACAGCGACTATAAAATATCCGATAGCCTGAAATTTATTAATGTTTTGATAATATTATTTTTTACATTTGTTAATATTGCAAATTCGGAGTTCGAAAGCACGGAAAATAAAATGTATAAATTGATTAACTTTCAAATAAAGCAATTCAAAGAGTGTACAGTGCAATAATTAATGCGCATTCAAAATATTGTTACAAAATATATACATTTATTGTGTATATTTTTTATTTTGTATATATATATATATATATA